TTTTTTTTTTTTTTTTTTTTTTTTTTTTTTTTTTTTGGCTAGAAGGAAAAAACTTTTGACTAAACTAACTATAATGCAAATGATTCTCACTGAAAATAGTTTCAAAGACAACAAGACACGAAAGAACAAAGATTTGCATATATATATATATATCTATATATATATATATATATATTTGGATAGGAAACAATTTGATAGGAGAATATTTAAGCTGTAATTGTTGAAAGAGACTAAATTTATACACCAGAAAAGAGCCATGAATAGAGCTGCATCAGGGGTTTCTTGTGGAGAGCTTTCCTTGTCTCGAAAAATCGTGAAGTTCCTTTCATTCGATATTTTTCATAAAACTGCCTGGATGGTTTGATGCCAAAGAGTACCATTTGTTGATTGAATGAGTGATCTGTTAACACCAAATTAAGCCAATCTATAATCTCCAAAGGGTAGACAATGTTCCATCCAAATCCAGATATTTTTTGTGTAGGGGCAGTGAATGTAGATGTGTCTTTGCGACTTTCCAGCTTCCTTACAAAGACAGCACCAATTTGGGGAGATCACAGCCCAAGGGCATCTTCTTTGCAACTGATTTTAAGTTTTGAGGAAAGAATGGTCGAGATCCAACAAAAAGAATTTGTTCTTCTTAGCATAAGGTTCCTTCCAAATGTTCTTGTACTGCTCGATGGAGAGAGCATGATTTCCTTCAGTAAGGTTGTAGACCGACAATTTAAAAGAAAAAGCGCCCCTGCTTTGTCACCAAACCCATTGTGAAGGAATAAGCTCAGTAAGGGATGTGCCCATTCTGAACTTTCATCTTGTTTGAGGTTTCTCTGTAAATTTGGAACTCTAAGAGTTGTTTTCCTTGTCCCAGGCATCATCAATGGTAGAATTCTAACAGTAACAGATTTATTTGTATATTCCTGAATCATCGAAGTACATCTCTAATTTCTCTTTCTCACTTTCATCTACATAGTTCAAAATTTGTTTTATCTTTCAAATCTTTCAGAAACAACAATGAAGCTTGATAGCATGGTAGGAGATATTGAAGATGCTGTATCTTCTGCAATAAACAAAAACTTGAGGAAGTATTCCCCAGCTCAGAGTTCAGAGGTGAGGATTTTCTAACTCTTTGTGTAAAGGTGGTT